GAGCACTTCATCAGTTGAGGGAAGTGGGTAGTCTGCCTTCTTTGATACCTGGTTCACTGTGCAACGGTAGTCGCCGCATATTCGCAACGAGCCATTCTTCTTTCGAACCAGTACGAGAGGCGTTGCCCAATCCGAATGCTGTGCTGGCTCGATTATGCCTTGACTTTGCAGTCGATCCAATTCTGCTTCTACAGCTGACCGGAGCGCGAAAGGAACCGGCCGTGCTTTTAGGAACTTTGGTTTCGCTCCTTCCACGAGGTCTAGTTGTACCGCTGGACCGATGTGTCCTGATATGTCCTCGTCGAATACAGATTGGTACTTGTCGAGAAGCTTCGAAACAAGTTCATCGCCGGATACATCATTGATGCCCGTGATCTGTATACCCAGGTGAGGAAACCAGTTTCGTCCAAGGAGGTTACAACCTGCTCCCTTGATGACAACAAGTGGTAGTGTCATGGTTTTGTTTCCGTGCGTAACAATCACCGTTGCACATCCGAGAACTCGAAGAGACTGTCCTGACCATGTGCGTAGGAGCATGTTGTCGGTCTGAAGCCGTGGTCGATCATCTGTCCACGTAGCTTTGAACGTGACCTCACTGATGAGTGTGCAGGCTGCACCCGAGTCGACTTCAAAATCCAAGAACTTGCCATGTACGCGTAGCCGAGTCATGACCTTCTGTGTGCTGAACGCGTTGGTTACGGTGTTGAGCTCGTAAAGGGCCACGTCTGATGAGTCCTGCTGAGTCGACACTGGTGCTGAGGCAGCTGTCGAAGTTCCTTGTTGGGGATATTCGATGCTGTTGCTCGTTTTTGCTTCTTTCCGCTTTTTCAGACAGGCTTTTTCAATGTGTCCGCGTTTCTTGCAGTAGTTGCAGGAGACTGTCTGGAACTTGCAAGTGTCCGGATTATGTAGCGCGTTACAACGCCAACAGCGTTGTTTCTTCTTTTGGGCAGAGGCACTAGAGTGACCTTGGTTGTCTATCTTGCATGTGCTTATGCAGGATTCGTGAAACTCTTTAAATTCGGTTTTCACGCGTTTCTGGTCTTCGATGGCGTTTTCAGCTCGCAGTGCAAGGTCGAAAGCTTTCTTGAACGTCAAGTCCTTTTCTGCGAAGAGCCGTTGCTGGACCTGCTCGTTCCGAAGACCGCAAACGAAACGATCACGCAGCATGACGTCCATAGGCAGCATTGTCGGATTCGCTGCAGTGTCTGCGCTTGTCCCGAAATTGCAATCTGCTGCTAGCTTCTTGAGCGCCGTGACGTAATCACTGACCGTTTCGTCGTGCTTTTGGTCACGTCGCTGGAATCGTGCCCTGCAGAAGACCTCAGACGGTTGTGGATCGAAGTGAGCCTTGAGCATCTTGACTATGTCCTCGTAGCTCACTTGGTTGGGCTGCTTGGGTTGAACGAGGGCGCAGACGATGTCATAAGTCTGTTCCCCGCACAGCGTTAGCAGATGAGCACGTTTCTTCGATGCGTCCGTAATCTCGTTAGCCTCGAAGAAGAACTGTAGCCTCCCATACCAGGATCTCCAGGAGCTGGGGCTGCCGCTGAATTCGGGTAGCCGACCGAAGTCGGGCGTCGCCATGTTATTTCCTTGACGTCGGTGGAGTGCCGATGAGTCGATCCAGTCTTCCTCGTCGCCAACTGTTACGTCTGTACAGCCGCTTGTGACTGTAGACGATTTATTAAAGGACAGGAAACGTGAACAAGTTCAAAAGCGTAGCCCAGGCGTTGGAGTCACTCCTGGCCAGCGTTCGACGCCAGGCTCGCGCTCGTGCCACAGCGCCAGTGCCCCGCGCGCACTTCGTTAATGTCGTCTTCTAAGGCGACATGTCACTATGAGTTTTTTTTGTTTGACGAAAGAGAGGCTGAAGCCCAGCCCACTTCCCTCTAATTTGGCCTCTAATCCTTGTAGGTACATCATGAATAATAAGGGTGACAGTGGACACCCCTGCCTAAGCCCCCGTTTTACCTCTGCAGGCTTGGATACCTGTTTTTCCCACTTTATAATTACCTTGTTACCTTTATAAATATCCTTTAAAAGGTTAGTGACAACATCTTCCACGCCTAGTGTGTCCAGTATTCCCCACAATTCCTCTTGAACCACGCTATCGTACGCTCCCTTGATATCCAAAAATGCTAGCCACAGGGGCCTGTGTTCCTTTTCTGCTAGTTCGATGCAATGTGTCAGTGAGAACAGATTGTCTTCCAACCTCCTGTGTTTTCGAAACCCGTTATGCAGTTCCCCCAGCACCCCCTCATCCTCTATCTATGCCACCAGTCTTTCTTTAATAATCTGCATCGCCAGCCTGTAGACCACTGATGTCACCGTTATAGGACGGTAGTTGTTTATGTCAACTTTGCCCCTTTTTCCTTTATAGACCATGCTCATCCGGCTAAGGTTCCATTCATCGGGGACTTCATCATCGATTATTGTTTTGCTCACTGCCTCTCTCGAAGTGTGCTTAGAGTTCGGACCAAATGTCTTTATCAGCATAATTGGAATGCCATCTGGGCCTGTTGATGTACTACTAGGAACCCTATTCTCAGCCCTTCCCACTGTCGTGAAAATGGAGCCATTGCGCCACGTGATCCATCCTTGTATATTGTGGTGCATAAGTCACTTCTTTGTTGAAATTTTTCTGTAACCCTTGTTCTTATATATTCAATAGCTTCCTTCCCTTTTCGCTGAGCACCTTGAACTGTATTTATAAACCTTCGTTCTGGGCTTGTCTCATTTCTTAGGAAGTTTAGATGGTTCCGAAATTTCAGAGCTGCCTCACTATCTTTTTATGTACTTCTGCCAGCCACTGAGCCCCCTTTCTTCTAATCTTTTCGCTTATCAGAAGGGATGCTTCCCTTCTACAGCTTAGAAAGATGTCCCATTTTCTTTGAACATCATCTGTCGTTTAACCCCTTGTAGGGCAACGGGAAATATATGTCCCATTTTTTGTTCCCCACAGAATTGCTCGTGAAAAACAATGGGACGCATCAAGCTTATTATTTCTGTGCTGCCATCTACATTGAGGTTTTTACACTTCTGTTGAATCTCGTTTGGAAGTTGTACAATAGGTGGCGTTAGGTGTACATTATTTTCAAAATTGTGTTTTTTGTTTTATCGACAGCACAAATTTCCGCATTGTGAGTCTCCGGAAAAGAATAATTCAAGATGACAAGTGAGTGTACCCTTTTCTGCGGCGAGAGAAGAGGAGAGACGTGAGACGGCGTCGAAGGCGGCCGATGGGGCCGTGCCGATCTCGCCACTTTATTGCAGGCCTGAAGCGGAGCCACGTCGGCTACCAGCGTCCGCCACGCCAGGCGTGTGGGTGGTGGTGGTAGTGATTAGAATGAAGAGGAAAAAGGCACCTAATTTCTGTCTGCCTTCAGGCGACACGGCGCAGTGCCTTATAGGGGTGGGGTGAAGGAGGGATAAAAAGAATAGAAGGAAAGTAGAAGCAGAAGAAGACAGCCAACGAGAGGAAAAAGAAGGAGATAGGAAAGTGGGGATCCGGTCGAAGCAGTCCAAGGGCGGGGTGCCACAATGCGAGAGCTACACGGCGTCAGGAGACCGCGGAGGGCGAACCAGTCGGCGGGAGCTACGCTGAAGTCGGAGATCGCGAGGGCACAACCGTCCAGCTTGAAATCCTGCGAGCGAATCCCAGGCGTGTCAGCTCGTTCTAATTCTCGCGCAGCTCGAGCTCGCGCCAGTTGCGCGAGAGACGCGGCGCGGTGATGGAAAAAATGACGATGGTGATGATGGCACTACACTGTGCTTCGAAAGAAATAGTTCAAGCATGTAATAATCGGGTGTTTTCAACAATAGAAGCAATACTTACTCCTAAAAGCTTTTTCGAATGGTGCCAGGGCAAAAACTGCATGACGATGGGATAAGCTTACTGCCACCGCTGCTTGCATTCGATGTGTAGTGAAACATTTCACCAACTCTTTTGTTTTCTGTTTGCTTGTAAAAACGCAGGTAAACGATTGCTGACGCGAGAGGAAGCGCTGGAATTATATTTTAGCCTTCCTGACGACCCTACGTCGAGTGATTCCGACAGAGATACAGATGAGGACTTTGCACCCGAGCTCGCTCCGCCCGATTCAGATGAGCAAAGCAGTGAAGCCGAAGCGGCGGAATCAACAAGAAAACCACAAAAGCGAAAGGCTACCTATTCAAGAAAGAAAAAGAGGCAGAAGAAAGTGCCTAGAATTTGCGACGAAGCAGAAGTCGAAGAGGAGGAGGTTGGGGCATGGAATAGCAGCGAACCGGATGCCGTGATTCGTGTTCCAAAAATTTGGGACCCACAATACAGTGCAAATCTCCCGACGACACCTTGTGAAGCTTTTGCTCTTTATTTTGACGAAGGTATCATGAACACACTGGTGACTGAGACAAACCGCTTTGCCAAACAGAAAGGCCGACAGCTTTGGAAAGAGCTTACAATTGATGAACTCCGTGCATACTTTGGCATACTTCTGCTGATGAGCACAAACCCCAGACATCAAATGTACCTGTACTGGAGCAGTGACAGTTTTTTCAATTGTCCTGAAATATCAAAGGTTATGTCGTTCCGTCGTTTTCAAGCCATTATGAACTGTTTGCACCTCACCGACCTAACCAAGGGAAAAAAGAAAGGTGAAGAAGGGTACGACAGATTGGCAAGAGGGCGTCCTCTCATTCTTGCACTGAATGAAAGTTTCAAGAGACAATACACTCCATCAGCGCACCAAGCCATTGATGAGAGTATGATACGATTCAAAGGCCGGTGCTCACTGAAGCAGTACCTTCCAATGAAACCTATCAAGCGGGGATACAAGGTGTGGTGCAGAGCCGACTCTAAGACAGGTTACCTGATTGAATTTCAGGTCTACGAAGGTAAAGGTGCAGACCGACCTGCGAACGTAAGTCTCGGTAAGCATGTTGTGCTCTCCCTCATTGACGGAGTAGAGGCTGGCACGCAGCTATATTTCGATGACTTTTTCACGTCCACATGCCTAATGGAGGCCTTGAAAGAAAAGAACATTTTGGCCGCAGGAACGGTTCGCCCAAACCGCAAGGACTTAACTGACGAAATCAAACGGGATAACGAGCTACAGAAGGGACAGTATATCTGGCGTGCGAAAGGGAGCATCACAGCTTATCAGTGGCGGGACACGAAAAACGTACACGTGCTGTCCAACTTTCATCACCCCAGCGACACTGAGGACGTTGTTCGAAAGCTTTCTAATGGCTCATCTATATCCGTCCAGTGCCCAAAAGCAGTCTCCGACTACAATACCTGGATGGGCGGAGTCGACAAGTTTGACCAAAGAAGGAACGCATACCCGGTGGATCGACGATCAAAGAAGTCGTGGTACCGAATTTTTTACTTTCTGCTGGACGCAGCAATAGTAAATGCTTTTCTTCAAATGAAAGCAGTCAGTGAAATGAGCTACCTTTGGTTCCGGCTCGTCCTTGGTCGCCAGCTGATAAACGGGCAAACATTCAAAGGGTCCAGCAATCGCCCGTATCGAGTCAACAAAAAAGGTGCCAAACATGGCCAGAAAATGGTAGGCGTTGCTGATGAAGTCCGATTTCTGGGAGCTGGACATCACCCTCAGAAGATTGCAAAAAGGAGGCGGTGTCGTTGGCGCTCGACTGCCAAGAAAGAAGCACGCACCAACCTTCTGTGTTCTGTGTGCAATGTGCCCCTTTGTTCAACGTGTTTTGGACCTTTTCATGCCGGCCGAATGTAACCAAGGAGCCCTCAAGGAGCATTGGTTCAACGTGTTTTGGACTTTTTAACGCCGCCCGAATGTAACCCCGGAGCCCTCAAAGAGCATTGGGACAAATGCGTCCCATTTTTTGAATTTTAATTTAGCGCCAGTGGGACAAATGTGTCCCAGTTTTTTTTAATAAAGTACTCGTTGTACATCCTTGAAATTTCTTTCAAACTACTTCTGTTGGCTTGGTTAGTAAAATAAGACAACCTTTTTCTGGTTTTTTTTTAAACATATCCTGCCCTACAAAGGGTTAACCCCGCTGCTTAGCATGTCTGTGTACCCTTGAGGTTTCCTGACGTTTTACTATAGTTCTCTTAACTTCCTCATCCCACCGACTCTTGGGTTTGTGTCTTCTTTTCCGGTGTGACTTGTCACGTGCCTTGCCAAGCCACGGTGGTCTAGTGGCTAAGGTACTCGGCTGCTGACCCGCAGAACACGGGTTCGCATCCCGACTGCGGCGGCTGCATTACCGATGGAGGTGGAAATGTTGTAGGCCCGTGTGCTCAGATTTATGTCCACGTTAAACAACCCCAGGTGGTCGAAATTTCTGGAGCCCTCCACCACGGCGTCTCTCATAATCATATGATGGTTTGGGGACGTTAAACCGCACATATCAATCAATCATTGTCACGTGCCTGAGTAAGCTCTAGCTCAAACAGTTTAAATAGATTCGTGCATCTCCACACTGTTTATCATCCTCACCAATTACTTTCTCAATTTGTTTAGAAGCTATTTATATTTGCCTTTCTGAATAAAAATGTCCCTGTAGTGGCTCATCTTGCCTCCTTCCCACTTTCACTGCTCTTCCAAAACTTAGCTTGATAGGTTTGTGATCACTACCCAGACTTCTGGAGCCACCTTCATCTATGTGCATTACCCTGAGCTTATCATACATCCTATGTGACATCAGTGCGTAATCTATCGTCGACTGCAGCCTTCCTACCTTCCATGTTATTTGCGTTTCACACTTCTCAGTACTGTTGCAAATGATCAAATCACGCCTTTCACATATATCCATGATAATTTTGATTAATGGGTCAGTATACTATCTATATCTTCTATGCGCGCATTCATATCTCCTAGTATAATTATCTCGCACTCTCCTCCGAATTCCTCAATGTCATTTGATATACACTGCACCATTGCCTGGTTTTCCTCTTTGGCCTTTGCTCCCGTCTACAAGTACACAAAACGAAGGAGTGTCATCTGCCCAGCTACTTTCCCTCTTAATTATGAGTGTTCCATGCATCTCTGCTTGACTCTTTGTCAACCCATACCTCTATGTATGAATGCACCAATTCCACCCCCCCCTTTTCTTGCCTTCTGTTCTATTGCAATATTCCCATACGTAGTCCAGATCAAGGTGCTTGCTCCATGCCCCGAAGATGTTTCTCCACAACACCATATACCATCAGCTCCGCCTCCTCAACTGCTCTTCTATCTCTTCCCACTTTAACCTATTCCTGCCACCCTGCATGTTAATATAGCCTATGTCTGACTTAGCTCGACCCTTGTGCTTACGTCGATTTCTTCTCCCACGGACTCCATGTGGTTTGAATATTTTTGCCCCTTTAGAACCATGTTCGGCTACACTGTCGGCCTCAGGGCTCTGGGTCCCCCTAAAAAAGCTGCGGCTTGACGACCCATCCTATTACCAACCCTTCTGTCCATCGCACCACTGTAGTGAATGCCATCCTGTGCAAAGGGGCGATCGCCGGGCTCGTACACGTCTTGGTTCACCTCCATCACGCTGTATCTGAGTTGCCGGCTCATACCCTTGATTATACAGTGCGCCTCCACTACCCTCCTTTCAATCCCACGAGACTGCCCCCAGACCTTTGGGACTGTGCATATGGTCACATGCACACTCCCAGGGGCTTCTCGGAGCCTACGCATATCATGCTCTAACTGTCTCTGAAACTAACTGGCTGGCCCCTAGTTGGCTGGCCTCTAGAGAGCGTTGTACTATATACATATGCATGTACAAGGGGGCCCATGCAGTGAAGACGCAGGTGTGTGAGGAGGAGACAGAGCAGTTTATCGGAGAAGGTTTATCGGATCATAAGGCGGTCATCGTGACCCTGTCTTATCTTGTGTTTAAAACCTTGTATTCGTTCACAACATTCCCGGATTTTAATCGTGCTAACGATACTTCGATCTTGGATGGCCTTGCTGATGCTTTTTCTCTGTTCGAATTCATGAGCAGCCACTGTGACGTAGATACTCTTGTGTCATACTTTGAAAACATTGTAAAATCGTGCATTCATCGCTTTGTTCCAATAAAAACTAAAAAAAACGAATAAGAAACTTCCTTGAATGAATAGAGATATTCTTCACCTATCTCGTCGTGTACGCAGGCTGAGGCGTAGAATGAACCTTGATATACCTAATAGCACGAATGAGTTCCTGAAAGCTAAAAAACAGCTTGCCGAAATGATGGCTTCTGCTAAGGATTTTTTCTTCGGCACACAATTACACTCTTTACTCTAAAATAATCCTCGCAAATTCTGGACATCAGTTCTGCCTAGTAGCTGCTCTTCCTCCTCATTCTTGATTAACGGTGAAACTATTACTGATGACCAGAAAATCTCCCATGCGTTTAATACTTACTTCCACTCTGTATTTTCCGTCGATAATCATGTTGCCCCTGCCTTTAACTCCCCTACCGATATAGGCTCAATTACTGATGTAACTATCAGTCATGCTGGTGTGCTGAATCTTATTCTGAATCTAGATGCAAAAAAGGGAGACGGTCCCGATGGTATTCCAAACTCTTTTTTAATTCGGTATGCGTTATGGACATCTCGTTACCTTACCATCATATTTCAGAAATGTTTATCCTCGGGTGTTTTTCCTAGTGCCTGGAAACTGGCCAAGGTTCGGCCGATTTTTAAGTCTGGCGATAAGCAGCTTTTTCCAAACTATCGTCCCATCTCGCTGACACCACATTCCGGCAAGCTGTTGGAGCACATCATTTATAAACATATAATCGACTTTCTTGAGACTAACAACGTCTTATCTAATCTGCAGCATGGCTTTCGTAGGAAATTCAGCACTTTAACCCAATTGACAGAATTTACCCATGACATTTCTGCAAGTCTCGACTGCGGCCACCAGGTCGACGTAATATTCATTGATTTCGCAAAAGCTTTCGACACTGTTTCGCATTCTAAGTTGCTCAAAAAACTTGAAGCCATCCTAAAAAATTCCAGTCTAGTAAACCTAATTGCCAATTTTCTGTTTAATCGCTCCCAATACGTTAGCTTTAACTCTGGCAATTCATCTCAAATCAAAGTCACATCAGGGGTACCACAAGGATCCGTTCTTGGTCCTTTATTATTTTTGATTTTTATTAATGACTTACCACAATCTATTACTTGTAAATTACGTCTCTACGCCGATGACTGCGTTCTATATAACACCATTAACTCCGTTCAAGATCACTATCTTCTCAATGATTCGTTTAGTGCCTTTTGCTCTTGGTGTGACACATGGCAAATGAATATCAATTTCCGTAAAACTGTCTCGATGTCGTTTACTACCAAACCGCAGACTTCCGTTTTCAACTACTCTTTCAATGACCTAATGCTCCAAAGGGTTTCAGACTATAAATACCTTGGCGTGATTTTCACCACTAACCTCTCCTGGTCTAAACATATCAATTCAGTCTGCACCAAATCTCTTAAAAAACTAGGCTGCCTAAGACGTACCCTCAGAACTTCCCCATATGAAACTAAATTACTAATGTACAAAGCACTAATTCGCCCAGTTCTTGATTATGCCTCTATCGTTTGGTGTCCGTACAAAAAAAGAGAAATAAAACAAATTGAATCTGTGCAAAAAAAAAAGCAATCCGTTTCATTTGTCGACGCTATGACCACCATTTTTCGCCTACATCCGCCATTACTACTTTAAATCTAACCTCACTCTCTACTCGACGAGATATTGAGTCGCTCAAATTCTTGCATGTCATCGTTCACTCAGTTAACCGTCTCTCCGATAACAGCTATCTTACGTATGCTATGCCAACCGTTACTCGAAATAATCATGCCCTAAACCTCGCCCCTTTTCACGCACACACCAATCTATTCAAATTTAGCTTTTTTCCTAGAACCATAGAACAATGGAATTTACTGCCGGGTGAGATTAGGAGTGCACCGATAAATCAATTCCTGCCTTCTCTTAGAAGTCGTATCTAACCAATAGTTCCTTGCTTTGTTCTATTAATATGTACGCCCCGCAGTGCCCATTCATTGGATGTTTATTTTTGTACTCAATGGAATTGCCATGTATATTGTATTTTGTTCGTTTGTTATTTTGTAGTGTGTTCCCGGAAGTGGTACTTTTGTAATTCTCTGCTCTGTTTTTTTTTTTCTTCACCCACTCCTGCCATAGCCCTTAATGGGCTGCAGTATGTGAATAAAAAAATAAAAAAAGCAGTGCCGGCGTGCCAGGGAGGATAAATCCACACTGCTCACATACGGCGCTCACAAAGCCGACATTGGCATGGAACCCCTTTATGATAACAGCGGTGTCAGCGCACTCCTTTTTGAGGCACGTGCAGGAGCGCTGCGTACGTTGGCATACCGTCGCAGGTTCGACACACCTGCGGACGTGGCCCGGGCCATATGCCGAATATGCGGCTTTGAATAGGAGACCACAAAACACATCGTCCTCCACTGCGCTGACTTGGGCCCGTGTCACCTTGAGGGCACCACCTTCCCGCTGGCACTGGAATTCCGAGGAGATACGGAGAGGAGCACAGCGGTGGCCAGAGCAGTCCACGTAACTAAACAGAGATTGGTGCAGTGGTGGTGCAGAACGCACAGACAGTGCCGACGCGTAGACAATGTAAACGTTTAGACAATGTAGCTGGTCTGCAAGGAGACACTGGCTGGCTGTCGCAAACGTGATAACTCGTTGTGTGTGTGTGTGTGTGTGTGTGTGTGTGTGTGTGTGTGTGTGTTTGTGATCGCGTGCGTGTATGTCTGTATATGTC